ACTGGCTCGAGGCCGCTTTAACATCTGTTGTCTTCTTACTTATTTCATGCTATATTGCGCAACGTTGGCCGTAAAGAGCCTTGCTTGATCGTATCCTTAATTGTTATCCTATTCCCGGTTGCCCTCGATAGCTCAAGCTCGATTCGAGTCCCGACCCCGAGGTCCTTATCGACCGGCTTTGCATCCGGGCAACATGCCCCTTCGGTTTGATTACTGTCTTGTTTTAGCTCGCATTTCATCGTTAAGCTTCACGTTCTTAGCATCAACCGCTCTAACAACTAGCTCGAGAATAGATCCCGTATTTTTAGAATCCCATTTACAAATTTAATTGTTGTTACCATTTTCACGGTAAACAAAGTGTTAGTGACTGAATTTTAAATTTAATATTTTTACATATATAATGAATTTCTTAACATAAAATACACTGTTGAACAAAAGTTACAGGCTTCGACCGAACCTGTAGCTCGGCTTCTGCCTCCCCCTGACAAGTTCTAATATATATTAATATGTGAGGCCTAGTGGTTGGAGGGGGAGATTGAGGGTCTCAGGTTCAAATTTCAACGAAGGTAAAATATTAGGTGATATTTCTATTTTTTAAAATTTGGTGGACCCAATATATGCACTAAAATACCCGTTAAAATTAATCAAAATACATGTAAAAACCTTCAAGCTATATTAGATTTATTATATGTAATTTTATTTGATAGTAATATTTTTTTATAAGAAGCTATTTTCAGGGTTTGAACACTAATCTCCTTGTCACAACGACAAGCAACGATCTTACTTGCCCCCAAGCTTCCCTTCATTTAGAGTAGAGAAACATTTCTATTTTGAAAGTTTGAACTTCTTCTCTATGCTATATGAAACTTTTGTTAATAAAGAAAAGAAGGTAAAGCGATATAATAAATTAAACATATCTCAAACTTACTCATATTCGATGTTTACCCCGATTAATTAAACAAATAAATTCATGATACATGTTTACGCTTTCAAAATTCATGATGCACCTTTTTTTTTCTTTACCCATAGCACTGATAATACTGAACAAGACTACATATAAAGGGTAACAAAAGTTTCATCTTACACTGTTACACAAAAAGGTAAAAAAATAAAAAAATTTAAGTAGATGAGTAAATATCATGTGAAGAAGCATATACATAGTACATAGCCATAAGTAAACACAAAGATATATATAGCATGAAGGTTCCAAGAAACGGGCTATTCTAGAATCCCGAACTAAAATTTATATCTTGGACCTGACTATAATACTATGACTTACGTCGAACAGATTTACGTGGTTTGTTGGATTTAACAGGCTTACCAAATATGCCACAAACACCACAACCAGATAACTTAGGAGATGGAGGATCAGTGGACGGTTCTATGTAGTTATCTGCAGAACGATAACTAATACGAGGTTTTTGTTCTGACGATGATGAAGATTTTTGTTCTTTTTTCTTGTGTTCTTGAGGATGATCATGAGTTGAAATTTTGTTAAGTTCCCCTGATAATAATTTATCATCCCATATTAAACCTGATGAACCTTGTCTTCTCAATGATATTTCTGACCTTGACAATATTTCTCCTGTAGTTGCAGCCATTGCAATTTATTATTGTTCTTCATTCTTCTTGATCTAATAAGGGGCATTCTTGATTTGAAGGTATCAAGGTTAATTTGTGTCAAAAGGATTTGTTCAATCTTGATATACTATAAGAAATTATAAGATATGAAAAGATTGATTAGTTGGACAATGATGTGATCATAAAATTAATGATATCTCATTTCGTAGTGTTTGAAATGACTTGTTCGCCCTCTGAAATTAGCGAAACTATTTTTTGATGATTTGACATGACTCCATTATATTGCCAACAACGAAACGATTTAAGTTATACAATATATTAACAGCATAAAATTAACTATATGTAGTGACATTATAAATAATTTACATTATCAATGTGTTTTAACTTGTTATAACAAGTAATCCGTCTTATTTTTTATGTTGTTGATCTATTTCCTATAAATGATTACATATAATTATCTTTTAGATGATTTAATAATATAAAGATTATTAAAACTCTCAGTTTTATTATATATCCGTAAATGAGAAACTTTAACATATTTTACCATTTTACCAGGTTATCAATTAATCTTCATTGTAGAGATTCATATATAATTATCTTATAAGAATCGGATTACTACGTTATAAATATTTTTAATGCCGTTGGTATATAGAACTTAACTCAATTGTTTTAGGTGTATAATAGGCACTTAGAGAGTCAAAGTTGGGAACATTTGGATTTGGTAATATCACTAAATTAGATAATCTGATTTCAGTCTGTGGCTCAATCCGACAAGTAGGTTTGATATGAAGGTAGTAAAGCAAGATTGAGGAAGCAAAAATTATGGAAGATAGTCAAAATTGTTATAAATAAGATTTTATTTATGATGAATGCCTATATTTAGAGAGATCTTGGGGTTTGTTGCTTGATGGCTAAGTCATTCTTCCCCTATAAATAAAGGGGTTCTATTCCATTGTAATTCATCCCAATATCAATAAGAATTCTCTCTCTACTTTGCTCTGCAATACTCTTCTTCTTCTTTTATTGTTTCATAACACGTTATTAGCATGAGACTCTAACCAATTTGGTAGAAGCTTTGGGATTGAGCATAATGATTGTCAATTGTTCTATGAACTTCCTTCATGATTAAATTCTGAATTTAAGGTAACTATCTTATTTTTCTCTTTCAAATTCTTGACATTCTATAATTTGATTTTAAATACAAGCAAAGACGATAAATTTTGATTGCAACTCTAATGGAGTTTGAAAGAAATTATAATCACCCAAAGTGGTAAAATTTCTATGCCTTGTCATGATCAAATTCATGTATGATTGTGGACAAAGAATTGAAAATCCGTCCTACTCAATTCTCATTCCCTTTAGAGAATGTGATAGTAGTATGTGATAAGTCTGAAAGAAGACAAAATTATTACTATGAATGTATCAATGGATGTGGACGTGGCAATAGACGAAATTATAATTGTCATCATTGTGGTAATGAGAACAATAAGGATTCTCAAAATAATCCTTCACTTTGTGAAATAATATTTGTCATCAATTTGACATGAGATTTTGTAAAGCACATATAGATGATTATGGTCCATTCATGATGTGAATGTGACAACATGTGATTTATGAATACATATTCATTATTGGAAGAATATGAACGTGCTAGTGGTAGTGAATATACCACACTCACCTCTAGAGGAAGGTTTGAGATGAAATAAGAAAATAATGTCATCATTATGGCATGAATGATCACTGATCATGTACGTATTGTACGCCAAAATAATCTGGTAATGTGATTATTAAAGGACAACAGTGATGCAAGGAACAGATCTTGCATATAATTTTAACAATTACCATAATGGTATAACTTCCTTCTTCAAAGAAATATTTACCATATGGATGTTTATGAATATGTGATACTACAAAATTAATTGAGAACTCTTCAAGAGCCAACTATACTATTTTGGAGAAACACAATTGATTACCAATAAGGTATTGTGTTGTAGTAAATCTCAAAGAAATTTATTCAGTTTCTAACGTATTCGCGAAAGCGGTTGGTTATATTGAGACTATAAATAAAGGAAGATTTAATATCTTCTATTACTACAACTTGTAGCGGGATAATATTTATGTGAAAAGTTATCCGTTTTATTCTCCAGTTTGTACTACACAAATAAAAGAATGCCACAATAAAGTAGAACTTTATTGATATAAAACCCATATCATAATAAATTTGGAGTTTATTGATATCCAGTTGGCATAGCTGGTTTAGCCATATCAATTTAAGTATGATGTGCAAAAATAATAGAGAATTCACATGGGTAAATATTAAAGAACTAGAAAGTTCTTTACGAATTCTCTTATATTGCTTATTCTCATTAATTAATTGACCAACTAAAGTTGGGATTGAATCCCATGAATTCTGAAAATATCAAAGGTGAATATGGGCTCATTCACCTGTCATGTATACCACATAAGATGCATTTATGAGATGGTTACATGTGCAATTATTATTAACTCGCAACATGGTATTTTGCGAGGTAACTTGCTCAATAGTTTAATTTCGAGCATAATTTCCAGATTTTCTATTCAAGAAGTTCATCTTGATAAGTTGGTTTACATCACAGCTGGTTTAGCAAAATAATTTATTGAGTGCCTCCACTTAATAGCTAAATTGTTGCTGATGAGAACAAAGTTATCTATATCAGTTTGATATAGGTCATATACGAAAGTATATTACATTCTCCCCTCACAAGTGGTTCGGGGTCAGGAACCAAATAATTTCATCTTTTTATTATTAATATGCAGTGTATATATTGATTAAGACCATAACGCACAAAGATGGGTTCCCAAAATTGAGGAAGCAAGTTAGTTTTTCTAACATGAGGGGGAGACATGATAAGCAGTTGAGAAAAAGTTACGTGGAATGAATTATCATTTGTACATTTAGATCCTTGAATAAGATAATATGAACTTGAAGTTCATAAAAGGATAATTCATTTGCAATATATTGCAAAGTATGATAGACGCATTTGTTGACCCAAAGAAAGTAAGTATATTCTCATTACAAATGCTCATATTAAGTTCTAGAAGGACAAAGTCTATGGTACGCTTAAAGCGTATAGACAAATCGGTTTCAAATAGAACTTCTTGATAAAGAAGATGAGCAAATGATCAAAGTGATCATAATAAGGAGGCAAGTGATCTAGAAGATCACATGACATAACACTTCATAAAGTCTCATGAGAGATTCAGGTACCTGAATATATTAATGAAGAGATCCCTATGTTATGTCTTTATGAAAAATTATTGGAACAGATATAAAATATTCGTCGACGACATCTATCATAGCGCTAAGTATAGATGAGGATCTTAAGTCTATCAAATATAGACACAAAAAGTATTGGCCAAATGGAAGAGACATAATTCAAGTAGAATTGATTCCATATGAAAGACATATAATTTTGTCTATGTTGTTCAAATACTTGAAAGTATAAAGTCAATGATATGTGCAATCAGTTTTCGATATCTTATATGTCTAGCATGACATGAAAACTTGATATGCATCTAAAGTCTCTTTAAATGGCTTATTTGACTATACTTATATGACAATCCCCAAAGGATTTAAACTGCTTAAAACATATACAATTCTTGATCTTGAAGTACCACTTTCTCAGTACAATTTGTGTACAAATGTATCTTGCTATAACTATAAGCATGATAATGTGATAACGAGAAAACCTCTATGGAGATATTGAAAAGGTCATTCTACGGCAGTTTATGAAGACATTACATCTTTATCAAGAATGATGATTTCAAGATGCAATATATTCATTCAAGTTAATATGGCTGATTTGTTTA